TGCAAATTTCAGGAGTACTTTTATCATTACCACTACCCGTTATTATGCCGTCACATATAAGGAATAATAATTTACGGTCATCAGGATAATCAGTTGCGGCCATAGACTCGCACGTAAGGCGTAAACCTTCTTCTCCTTCAGAATAACAAGTTACGAGTAAGACGGTGAAAAGATCATTGCCAATTTTATCCAAATTCATAGTTTTTGTAGCAGTGATAGAGCTAGTATTACGATGTATCCATGGTGTCGTACGTCTTCCAAATGATTGTGATACTGGTTGCAGTTTTTGTTTTTTTGGTTCAATTGGTTCATGTGCGAGACGATAAGAAATAAACCAATTGAAAACGCAAGCCATAAAAAATCGAACCATTACGACCCCTAAAATAACTACTAACATGATGTAATTAAAAACATCGGAAGTAAAACATCCAATCGTTTGTTTATCGATATTCCCAGCATAGTATTTTTGAATAAGACATGTCATAGCTTGTTTTGTCGAATCTTTTCCAAAGATTAATTTAGTAACATCCTTTCCATTCGATGGATCTTTGGAATTTAAAACACTACGAATCATTTTATCAAGTAAATCGTTCTCATCTGGCTTTGGCTTAGCACTAATATATGGATCCAAGTTGAGTACATAACCATCAATAACAAAGTAATTTTTTAACTCTGGAGAGCCAAGATCTCCATAGTCAAAGCCAACTCGTTTTGAAGTATTTTTTAAATTATACTGTTGCAACGTTGAAAGACTTAATTTATCAAGAGGGCAACTACTAGAATTAGAACAAAGAGGTTGAGCGACTGCAGCGAATTTTTGGATCGAACTGAGTTGACAACTAGCTATGTCAGAATTATCTCTTTTGAAAAAGTTTGTGATATCTTGACCATTTTTTTGGTTTGCCTTGCCAAAAATATCAAATCCAGAGGGAGGCCTAGCACTAGTTATATCAAATTGCCACCCCAAGATTCCGAGATGATCTTGAAAAAAAAAAAAGACTTTAGTTAAAAATTACTAGTTGTTTAATAAGTGTAAAGTTGAAACATACTTGGGTTTGCATTATAATGTAAAAAGTGTTCAGAGTTTTTTGCGGATTCAGCAGGACATAGAACCGGTCGAAATCCTACTGTTAAGAAAGCAACTATAGCGCCCATAACGAGTGCGATAAAGCATAGAGCAACTTTTTCACGCCAAGCTTGACTTGATTGTTTGTCGGGAAAACCTCCGCATTTGGACAGTAGTATGTTTGGTGCCCAAAAAGTAACAATACGAGAAAATAGTACCCATAAATCAAATGGCTTTCTCTCCTTTTTACCAGTAAGTAGAGGAGCAGCGGGTTGATATCGTTCTGGTCTAGTGAAAGTTTTGTTACGCCGAAGCGAGGCACCACGATTTGGGTGTACATAATCCGCGTCCATAATATGGCTTGGTTGTTCTCGATATGATGAAGTGATGAAATTTTAGAATTATAGAAATAGGACAATATAAAATAAAAAAATAAAAAATTCGAAGATAGTGTTTCTGGCAAATGATGGTAACATTGTAATAAAACTTATTACGTTAAATGGAAATCATATTCTATATATTTTATGC